ATACTATATTTATACGCGGAGCGACCTTTTGATTATCTAATAAAGCACGGATCAAGAATGGCCCAGCCACAGTCCTGCGAAAAATACGTCTTCCGAGGGTCAAGGTAAAAGGGATTGAAGTATGAATGTGTAGATATAAAAACACAATAGAAACCGTGACCTCCTTTTCAAGAAAAAAAACTTGTATATTACTTATAATATATTACTTCTTCGTGATTGAACACAAGATCGTAGTTAACTAAATGTATGCTCGCGTGACGTGCGTTGCATGCGTTGTTCCTCATCGTCTAGCTAATCCGCAACGTTATCACTTAGAGCGTACCGCGATAAATCTTATCTTCCCGCAGAACGTCGACAGGTGCGAAACTTCCGTATGTAACGCACGCGTTTCCAGCGGTCGTAGAACAGAGATGAAATGAAATTCGCTCCATCGAGCCCATATTAGATCCAGCCGTGATGTATTACATCGGCGATTGTCTTCAAATGTTTGCGCCCGCGCGAAGGGCTTAAAAACATTACACACCGCGCGCACTAGAAACTGTCAGTCGAGGTTTCGCCTCGTATCTGTTGGTATGCGCGTTAATTATTGTTGCATGTAGATATATTGCTCTCGCAAATAACGAGAGAATAGTTGGCGGTATTCCCGGTTAGCTGATGATATCAGCACGCGATATCAGGCACGCTGCGTTTCTTTTCGTTTAATTTTTCTTAAGCTTCCGTCATCTCTCGCTCTATGCGTACTGTGTTTCGAGAGGCTTCGTGACTTTTTTCGAAATTCTACGCTTGTCGAATAGTAAAGCGGCAAGATGCGAACTTCCGCTCGCAATATCAGTACGCATCATCGTGCAAAAAAGCCATTGGAAATGTTGCTTATGGCCACGAAGGAACTATTTACTTTACTTCTCTGCGTGTATCGTTTAAAAATATTTTTAACCCTCTAGGGGCGAATATTGCAAATTTGCAACGTTTACTTTAAAATAAAATTTGAGATAAATTCATGATAAATTTGGGATGTGTATCAGTTACACTTAAAAACTGAAGATGAAAATGTATACAGCATTGAACTATAACACTTTTTAAACCAAAAAGTATCAATATCGGTATATTTCGATAGAAATCGGTATATTTCGATAAAAATATTCCGATATTCTTCACTTATAAGTTATTTTTAAATAAAATCAGTAAAAAAAAAAGAATTATTTTTAATGATAAGACGATGCCGCCTCTAGAGGGTTTATCAGAAATTTAAAAAGAATTATTTTCATCTAAAAGTATTTTTTCTGTCGACTAGTTCATATGTGTCACTGGTTAATAAGAAGTAATCGCTCCTGCGGGACTTGTAAACTTTATCAATACAGATAACACGCAGGCCACATCATGCTGAAAGTTTTATGAGTCAAAGCTGTAAATGCCCAAAGTTTTATCGCTTGACATTGTGGTATGACGCGTCAGTTAAAATTAAAATAAATAGATTCGATAACAGTTGCAGCTTCGACCGCATCTCAGGATCTCTAGAACTGTCCAAATAGGTCTTTTCTCATGGAACATATACATTTTTCTCCGTGCGAAGATCGTACCGCGCGAGAATCGTAATTTCATCCTTATTAATTAATGCAGGCGAAAATATAGAGGAAGCTCTCTCGTCACGTCGCCTCTGAATTCGCTGATTAAAATTGAACGCTCGGATGACAGCGGCAGTCGTAAAGTCGTGTAAGGAAAGCTTCAGTTCGTTAATTTAATGTAAATCGCGAAACGGAAATGTGCCTGTGGCAGCGCTGAACCGTGCGAGCGGAAGTACACACACACACATCGTTATTCGATACAAATAGATAAATAATCGATTATGTACAGGTATGAACAAGGTGTACAAGCCGCGGCGGTGACGTCGTCGGTGCGCTCGCATGCGTGCTCAAGGTGGCCCCCGCGGGGTAAACCACATTCGGCCACCCGTGAATTTTGCCCTATATCTCGTTGCGCGCCGCTCTCGCGCTTATTTATCGTCGGCGGCAAACGCGTCACGTTGAAAATATAGCGAGAGAAAGGAAACAGCCCCCTCGAAATGTTGACACACGGAGGGGTGTTTAATAGCGCTTTCTCGGAGTAGACGCCGGAGTTTCGCGGCGGCGTAACAATAATGTCGGAGCACAGCTCCGAGGAAAACAGCATTTATATATTATCACATAATTTCAGGCTACTGAAGTCTACCATATTATCCACCCCTCCCACCTAAGGTGTGGTGTCGCTAAAATGAATAATTTAAGTCGCCTAAAGTCGGCTATCGCTTTTAAACTTGGTCAGTATCTCTAGCTTTTCCTCGTCGGCTGAGGCTGCGCCTCGACGTGAAGCCCGCTGCGCGATAACGCCTGCATTCTCAGGATATATACTTTCGATCGATAACTCAGAATTTGTCAGGATTTCCTCGCTCACCATCTGGGCCACCAATTGGGTCAGCGAAATTTTCTCCCTTTTCATCGAATTACTTTATCCATCGCATTCGTAATTTAAGTTATGCAACCTGCATGCACGCTTCGTTCGTTCACGTCGAAATTTGCAACCTGAGCGCAATGCAGACGTCCGAAAGAAGTCTGCGGCCATGATACGAAAAGGAAATTAATTCTTGTAATTACCGTATCGTTCGGTATATCTCACTGCGTTCTTTTTTTTTACGAAATAATAACAGTCAGCGCAATAAAACGGTCTATCGAAAACCGATCGGAGCCTACCAACGATACCGAACACATGTTACTGTTACACATTTATATGACGCATGTAAATGTAATATTCGAAACGTTTCGTTCGCTGTCGGCGAGGTATAATCGACTACTTTTGGCAGTAAACGATAGGTGGTAACGTTGAAGTTTTTTTTTCTCGCGTCACCACGGCCGCAATATATATAGCACGTCACATTGCGTGAAATATTTAACATCCTCTCTCGATCGACGTCTTGATTTATCTAATAACGTTGCGACGAGTTTTGACGCGCGACGTGCGCGCGCGTCGATCGTTCTGAATTATCTATTTTACAAGACAATCTCGTGTGAGTATATCACGCGCGACCAAAAAGGAAAAAAAAAAAGAAACGAAAAAGTACGGAGCACGAGACGAGACGGGAGAAGTTCGCTCGGCTCTAAAATTGCTTGTCTACTCTTATTCTCAAGGAGAACTAACGTTTTTATTTTTTTTTATATATATATACTAACATGTTGCGCGCGACGCTCGATGTCTCGGATTTCCGAACGAGGTGCTACTTTCCTTTTTTTCTTTTTTACGAGACGTGTCAATCGGACCGACGTGGCGCCTTGGCAAATTAACGTCGTCGACGCGAAAATTCGCTACGATCGCGATACGTTATCTCGATAACGTTCGCGAGAGACGTGTTGTGTGATATCAAATATAAATACTTTGTATGTCTGTTAACTGGACAAAAGTAGCGTGGCTCTGTAAGACGGTTTTTAACTTCTAGATGATATTGATATAAATGAGATAAGGTGATAGTTGGGGGCCGGTTTCATCAACGTCTGTTAAATACCGTCTGTTAAAGTACCGTCGAATCAAAGGTACACCGAACTTAACCGTTAAAACGCGGTTGAGGTCAACGCGATGTTGATGAAACTGGCTTATAATAACTTGCTACAATTCGCTAACAACGCATTATCGATCTAAGCCTTCCCCTTTCCTTCTCCTCCTCCCCCCGCCATCGCATCGTTTATAACATTCTCGGCATTGCGCCAAAACGTGGCAATCCCTCACTATTACGTAATAACGCAATCTTTCGGCTGCGCTAATCGTCGAAGTTCAATCAAGGCGCAGCGTCGTTCGATCGTCACTAAGCCATTCTATAATAGCGACATACTACTAGGATTTTATTACTTATTGTCCTCGTTAAAGTAGTTCGCACTTTAGTTCTGCGGCTTACGTTACGTGGTTCTTTCTCTCTCTCTCTCTCTCTCTCTCTCTCTTTCTCTCTGTCTTCCTCTTTCTATCTCTCTTTTTTTCTATCCTCGTTTCGAGATGATTTTCGGGCAGCTCGACGGGGAATCATTAAAACTTTCGCGTGGATCCGGGATGGGACGTGTAACGGTACTTCGAGAAGTAATAAGGCTTCGCGCGCGAGAATAATAAGATCTTGCACGCGAAGATAACGAAAGTATCAGAACTCGGGAACTTCCGGAACCCGCCGGCTATCGCGGCAGTGATTATTTCGATGTCTGCGAAGGTGGATCGAGTTTCTCGAATGAGAACTCGATCGCGCGTCTGCACTGCGTGGTATTTAGATTTCACACGTCCGTTAAAAATTGACAATCGAAAACAAGTTATACTTATATTTCACAGATGCGTTCAAATCTTCTTTTTTTTTTTTATTTAAAAAGTTATAAAACGATTCAGTCTCTTAAAATGAGAAAATTCTGGCAGTATATTGTTAGAAATTGACTTAAAAAAATAGATGTAGACGACTGCGTGTGTGCGTGTGCCGTGTGACGTATTGAAATGTTAATACATCACAAACATTATACATCATGTCGCCGGGATTATAATCCGCCGTTACACGTTTTACTTCGCGCTACTGTGCGCCCGAAACGCAGACACCGTCGAACTTATGATCCTAAGCACGTTCCAGTCGCTCTGCTTTACAATTCACGACGTCCCCTGTAATCAGATCGCCCGACTCTCCCCTTTGACTCACCCCCCGTCTCATTATTCCCTGAATTTAAAACGAGACCTACCTCCCAAGAAACAACCGACCGGGAACGAAAAGCGTTCGTTCGGCAAAAAAAGAAGGCGTTCTCCCACTCGCCCGAGTCATCGAGCATCGAACGCAATTTTCCGATCATAGATGAGCTTCGGGTTTCTCTCTCTCTCTTTCTCTCTCTCTCTCTCTCTCTCTCTCTCTTTTCCACCTAACGTCCCGAATCTCTCTCGCACACGACAGTTCTGCGCGTTACGCGGAGGCAGTTCCGCGGATCCTCCGGCGGCGGCCGGCCCGGCGGCTTCTTCAGGAGAGCATGGCCGAGCAGAGTCTGACCGCTGATCTGTAGAGGACCGCCGGAAACCGTGCCGACGACAGCGTGGACGACGGCGATCGTCACACGGTGGTGACCCGGTCGACCTCGACGTAACGCACAGAACTGTCGCTGTGTCAGCATATCACTTCCTTGCCGTCGATTATCGCCGTCTCGGAGGAGATGCTCTTCAGACGGTGCTGGGATATCGAGCGGCGGCCGCGCCGCCGGCAGGCCCGCACGAGGATGAAGATAACGACGCCGAGGACGGTGAGTATGACGAGCGCGCCGAGAGCCAGTTGCAACGGCGGCAGCTGCAGCAGCACGGAGCAGTGCGTCAGGGCCTCGTCGTAGCCGGACGGACAATGGGACACCCCGTCGCACCACAGCGAGGCGTTTATGCAGGCGTCCAGCTCCGGGCACCGTTGCTCGCAGTCCCGCGACACTTGCAGGCCCGCCGTTGACGTCACCGACGGTCTGCGGGTCAAACGGGAGGATCGATAGAGTTATATTGTTCCGCGCTGCGTAACGACGCGCGGCTCTCTCGTCCGCGCGACTCTCTCGGACACCCCGCCCCGCTCGATCGAGGTTGTCGGGATATTAATTAAGGTCTTTTTCCAATGAGATCGAGACATTCGAGTGGCGCTCGAACAGTTGTATCATCGCGACGTTATTGTACCTCCAACACTGATGTAAATCAGAAAGCGCACCAAATATCTTTCGGATCGATCTATTAAAAACAGGAAAATTTGCAACTCTATTCTTATTAAGCAATGCCTTAATTTTAACTTATCTTTATTCACGATAGTTTATGTAATGCTTGCTAGAATTTCTAGCAGCATCTTTATTGTATGTTTTTCCTCAGAAAATTATCAATTAACCAGAAGAACAGTTTGCAGCAAACTGAACGCTGTAAAACTTTAGCTATATACATTTTGTATATAGTGAGTTAACGAGAGATCTTTGCAACTTTCAGAGATGCAGATACACCGCGCGAATCTATTAAAGACAATCTTCGTTTCTACGAGATTAATTATTCCGCGTAAGAGATTGTGAAAGTTATAGATAAATTACGGCGAAGTTTAATGAAGGGTTCTTTTTTCGCCCCCTCCCCCCCCCTCCCCGCTTTGAACGAAGGAGGTCGCGTTCATGAAGACTCTATTAATTATGGTCTTTGCCGAGCTCGCTATCGGGAGTACTTTGTTCACTTTGTTTCACTTCCAGTAATACTCTAGTAATTGACATAATATCCGCGATCCATAATATATCAGACTCTTTATTTCCTCCATTCTCCGATATTTTATAGAAATGTGATTGTTACCTTCTGGTGAGCTCGAGCCATGTGACCGTGTAGGAAGCTGGTTCTTTCACGATGAATTCCACGGCGATAGTCCTGATCGGTTCCTGTCCCGGCGCGAGGATCATGGCGTTGCTGCTGACGGCCCAACCGTTGCTGAACACCTCCACCACATGGTGACTCAAGCCGGCAGGTGGTTTCGGGCACACCGACACGTGAATCGCGCCGCCCGTGTGCACGATGATGCGATTCTTGGTCGCGCACTCCGTGCTATTCGACACGATTATTCCGTTCATTTTCACGTATAAATACTGTCCCGGCCCAGGATCGATCAGCCACGGCTGGTTCTCGCAATTTTTCTGTCGATGAAGAAAGGTACTCGTATTGAGATAAAATGTAATATAGATAGATATTTGCGGAGCAAACCATTCGAAACTGCAATCTGATGTATTTTTTATTTTTTTACTTCGAAATTACTTTTAAAAATGTGAAATCTTGAAAAATTGTATACTGAAATTAATAATTATTTATGTTACGGTATTTTTTTTAATGAAGTAATATTACTTGGCTTATTAAAAATCTCTCATATTAAGAAAATGGATTTTCTTAGGTACACAATTTATTTCTTTGCATTTTTTTTTTAAAGATTAATGGATAAAACTTATTTTAGACGTTTTAGTTTTCAATAACTCTGTACATAAAGCTTCTCTTCTCGTTTACCTCATCATCGTCGACCGGTGGCGTGTATTTAATTTCACCGGATGGTCCCCTGACTCTACGTTTCTGCATGCAAGGCATCGTCTTGACGAAGTCCCAGGTGCCCTCGAAGAAGAGATTGTTGTAATCATCCAAGGCGTCCATAGATAGAACGGTGAAATGTACCTCGGCGATATTAGAGGTAGATTTGATATTGATGGGTAACGATCGATTCGAGCAGAGACAATCTCGCTGGATGGGCGGCGCGTTTGGCCAGGGTAAATCGAGCACCTGTAAACAGACAGTAGAGAAATGCTTCCGTCTTTAGCCTCGAAATAATGATCATTTATCATTTTTTTTATCAATATGTCCGTTTCGTGGCTGAAAAACTATTATTTACTATTTCGATATTATCATTTGAATCTCTGTTATTATTTCTTGGAAATATTTCGCAACTATTAAATACACAGTGCGACAAATAATTTCCCGGAATGGTGCTATAAAAATGAAACAAATTGAGTTTTTTCAGTTTTCTCTTTTTGTTTATTTAAAATTCTCTTTCGGATTCAATACACTTTTTGCAACGATTCAACAATGATTCAAATGACTGTTCCAGTTCATTTTGTGGTACTGCCTCCAAAGCACGCGTCGAAGCCTGTTGAATTATTTCCACATCTTCAAAATAGCATCCTTTCAAATTTATTTTTATTTTGGGGAATAAAAAAAGTCACATGGCGCTAAATCAGGCGAATACAGTGAATGATTCAACACGCAAACTTGATTTTTAGCTAAAAATTGACTGTGAGCTACTCGTATTTTGAAGATGTGGAAACAATTCAACAGGCTTCGACGCGCTTTGGAGAGAATACTACAAAATAAACTGGAGCAGTCATTTGAGTCATTGTTGAATCTTTGCAAAAAGTGTATTGAATCAGAAGGAGAATATTTTGAATAAAGAGAAAGAGAAAACTGAAAAAACTCAATTCGTTTCATTTTTATAGCACTATTCCGGGAAATTATTTGTTGCGTTGTAAAATATTCATATTTTAGATATTCTTTAAAATAAAATCTCGAATTGATAAACCGTGCTGTTAACACTAGAACCGCGGTTGTGTCATTTTTGACCCATCTTACTCTTTCTTTTCTTGTCGTTGACTGTAGCTATGCGTAGACAGAATTAATATTAATAAAAGTGTATTATTTAGTTACCACTTTGTCCTCTATCAATCCATCTATCAAAAAAATCACCAAAAAGTAATATGAATCATAAGTAATTCATCTACGGGCAGGCTTTTAAGGCAGGCTCAGATCGTCGTGGTTTTAGAATTAAATTGCGACTCCACAAAACTGTATTTCGTCCATTTTATATCTATGTTATTAAATACTGAATTAATAAGATAAATCGCGGCACACGCCTAAGTTTGATTCACGTCAGTCTAGACTACTTAGAAACTTTGAAGCCTCTCGGTTTACCATGTTTGGATTCGGAGATTGCTGATACTTGCTATCGCAAAGGTACCGTTAATTACTCGATCAAAGCCACCTGTTAGTACTTCTACGTAACTTCTATTGTATCAGTAAGATATATCACTCATAACTCTCCAACTTTTAGCCTCTTCTAAGGTAATTTCGCAACTCACGAAAGACCATTGTTTCAAAATGATTTGATGTAACGTAAACGTTTCACTTTTCCCTTTGCGTACGTTCTCAAGTTTCGTAGGTTCGAGACGTAATATCAAATGTATACAACGGTCCAAGTAAATCAGACAATTTCATGGCATCGATAGCAAAATTTAATTTTCGCACGAAGTACTAGCGTACAATGGGTTTGGCGCGGAACTAATTGCAATTACCAGAAGTTTCAATTACGCACCTTAACCGAGAAGTTCTCGGAGTCGACGCAGAGCAGCCTATTGAAATCGGAGTTGTCAACGCTGCGGCAGGTGCGATTCCCATTGAGGAGCTTGTTGAACCTCAACTTCACCACCTCGTCGTGTTCTCCCTCGAAGCGGTACACGCAGCTGCAAAACCAGTTTCTGGCCTGCACTTTCAGTATACTTAATCGAATCTACACGCCTCGCCGACCAGGCAAAGGAGCCGGGTTCAGTGATCGATATTGCAGGGAAGATTACGAGCAGCGTCGAAGGTTGGACGCTCGTTAATCGGAGAGCGGCCAAAGTGATTTTAGGGGTGGATATCATGGTAACGTACAACCACTATTACCGTGTTTCTGGTCTCTTTTAGGTTTTAGGATACCGCGGTTGGATTATCTCGCTAGAGGAACATTCCTGCCTTCCATTACTTCAAATGAATTTCTTGGCGAATGCAAATAGCGATTTAAAAAAGATCCAATAAAATCGATTTTACTATCTCTTCGTCAATGCACACGGTAGTGATTTAACAGCTCGCAGTGAGCGAACATTTATTTGCTTGAAATTTTCAGTTTAGGAAATTTAGTCATAAATTTACACATTCTACGTAGTACTAGCAAATTTTTTTAGTCCATTTTTAAAAATGACTCACTGCGACACATTTCTAAAGCCTTATGTAAGAAAATGATGAACAAAGTAAAAACGTAGCTCTGCATGTGTGTGTGTATGTATGTGTTATCGAACGTTACGACAGAAATTTTGATTTGCTGGCAGGAAGACCTCGGTTTAACGGCGTGAAGTTCATTTTACGATTGTCGTAAAGCCGCAGTCTAACTGATATTTTATCGGGATTGTGGAAGATTCGATCCAGTGGATAGTAATAAAAGGACGCGCGAGATACGAAAGCCGTCAAAGACGGAACGTATATGTTCATTCCATAGATGCGTACTCCGTGCCTCGCTGTGCACATCTCGGTGAGATGCATTTGAGCGACGTACAGTAAGGATTTCGCGAGATGCTCGAGGATTTGGAAAATAATTTAGTATAGATCGCGACAAGTTTATCACAAGAATTACACAGAAATCGAAGCCAAATTGCAAATTGAATTTTATATAATTTTTTATATCTTCAAATTTAAAAGAAATATTTAACGTCTTTTAATTCTGATGATACTCCAATATTGAGGCTTAATATTCGTAAGTAAAAACTTGTACTTTGACCATTAATATATCGAAAATACCATACGTAATTCTTCTATAATGAAACTAATACAAGTGATAAAGCTTGACGTTTTGACTGCGCAATGCCCATCATGTGCGTTTCTAATCGCAATTTAGCGTGTGGCGTATGCGCTTCTGATCTCATTTTCAGTTTCGCAATATGCCATTCGTCGATCGCGAAGGGACGATATGGAACAATAGTATATTTTACGACAAGACGATTTACGACACAATCTGTTAATAGTAGGCCTGTTAATAATAATAGGCTGCCACGAATTGACGAATGATAACGAGTTAACGATATCATAATCGCATCATTATATCGTTGCATTAGCTTTCACGACGGTATTCCGAACCGGTACGATCCCATCGTCGATAAATCGTCATTATATCGAAGTGTCATAACACTGCGTCAAATGAATAATCACGGATAAGTGATATCGTATTAATCTCAACGAAGCTATCACGTAATCGTATTACAAATTTAATCACCAATTTCAAGACATGAGCTCCACGAGCTTGACAAGTACCAAAGTTACGAGACCTCGACGGAAATCTCGTATAACAGTACGCAATTTTCGATAAGCAAATTCAAAACGCGGAATATCTCTCCTTACTTGGAGACATCTCTAATTTGCTATCAGTAACAGCGAATACGGCCGCTCTTACCTTATGTTCTTCGACCCTCCACGGCCGTACAGAAATATGTCGCGCGGTCCTTGGAATTTACGATCTGGATAATGGTCTCGATTCCGACTGTAGAAAATGCGGGAACACGGTCCGCTGCCGTAAGGATCGCCATCCTGGTGAAGATCGACGAATTCGTACAGAGCACGAAAGTTCACGGGTCTGGAAAAATACCGCGTATCGAACTAATTAATTTATATTAAGGCAAAAAAAGTTCTGAGCAAAGTGGACTTACTAAATTTATACATAAATGAGGTAAAATATATTCTGCGCATTTAGAGATTAATTCGCGAAACAAAGAGACGAATACGAAAGGGAAGAATTAAATAACTGACAAATCTCCTTTTTTTCATACGCAACGTCTCCAACCCCGTCGAACAACGAATTAATCTCGGGGATGGTGATAAATTCTTGTGCGGGAATGTATGTATTAACGTGACAACAACCGCACGCGTGAGCGCGCACGCGCGCGCAAGAAAAGGTTAATATGTACGCGCCGCTGTCCGACGCGCGGGTTCGGTGTACTGATGAAGATCGACGAACCCCATCAGCGGATTGTGAAAGAGGCGGCGGGCCTTGAAGAGAGACGTTGCACCCCCGGCGGTTGCAGAGCGCGCGCGGGGGATGTTATTAAATCGAGCTCGAGCTTATTATAAAGCGCTGTGCGCCGCGCGCGCCGGTAGGCTTTACCTCGCGCGGAAAGGATTAACTAGACCGTGCGATGCATCCGCATTGCACGTCACTCACCGCCGGCTATCACGCCCGAACACGCCGTGTCCACACGTCGATAGGCACGCGCGCGCGCGCGCGCGCAAGAAAGGAGGAAAAAAAGACCTGTGGAAAGGGGAGGACGACGACATGCGGATACTCGCCGCGTCGTCGGACGTTGGCGTGATAAACGAATGTAACGCGTGCGAAATGCGAATCGGAGAGAGTGTGTCACCCGGCGCGGGCCGGGCTGGGTAGAAAAACCCGACTCTCAATTATTCATCGGCAAACGCCGATCTGAATCTTTGTTCGCGTTGAAGGATCGTCGGGGATTATCGCGCGCGAGCACGATGAAAAACACGACGGGAGCGAGCGACCCGAACGTGCCCGCCGATAAACGTCACAAAGGTCCCGATGTAATCGCGATTTAATTACCATTCAGCAGGGACGAACATTTTTACGATGTATACGCGCGCGCAGATATTGCGCTTAATTTCTTTTATTTTTAATAACGATTCCGTTAATATTAAATTGGCTTTTAGATTATCACAGCTCTTTCTCTCTCTCTCTCTCTCTCTCTCTCTCTCTCCGCATTTTGTAAATTAATTATCCGCAAAAGCTTTCAATGAAGCATATATAAACAAAGCATGCTAATTCGTTACATTTAAATTAACATCCACAAACGAGTACAATTCGCGACGCGTGCCGTGGTGCGCGCGCGGCTGCACGAATTGGCACGCAAATGTACGGAGCGTACTCTGAAATTTTTCGCAAGTCCGCGCTTCTCCGTGTTGTTAAAATTCGCGTTTTCTCATGCGCGACACGCGAGTTCATTTAAATAATTTTTATATTTGCGGAGCAGCGAATCAAGAGATAAATGTAACACCTTTCCCGGACAGAAGGGAAAGGAGAAGGAGAAGGTGGAGGGATGAAAGAGCTACGTATAAAATTAAGCAAATGGGATGTGGAGGCCGCCGTCGCCGCGTGTCTCGGGATTCCTCTGAATTTCCGTTACCTTCACAGCGCGAGGGAAAAGGGCGGGAGTGAATCTCTCATGAATAATCTATATTGTAGGTAGCGGTAAAAAGAGAGAGAAAGACAAAGAAAGAAAGAATGAAAGAGAGAGAGAGAGAGAGAGTGAGTGAGTGAGAGCGTAGCATCACGCGGTGACAAACGAATGGCGAAACGTACGTGCTACCGTGGCAGATATTGCGCGTCGTATTTCTATAAAACGTTTCCGCATATTTCGCTTGTAACGCTCCGACAGTTCGCCGATTCGCGGCGGTTCTGCAAGCGAATCAGATGAAACGCGAGATTACGATAAGCGCGCCACCGCTTCTCAAATGTTCGCCGATGCAAATTGCCGATGTATCACCTCGAGATTTTTGGGATACCTATTAAAATTCTGTCACTTAATTAATTTCTTGATTAAAATTAAAAAAATGAGAAACGTTTTCAAAAATTTGTAGTCAGTTGCATTCGTGAGTGGTCTTTTCAATTTTTATTATTTTTTACCTATATTTTTCGAAACGTTCGAAAGCTCAAATAACGATCGAAATAACGAGGTTAAAGAATTAATATAATTCATCTAATAAAATGACTAACGTAACATATTAATACGATACATTGCAATATTTGTCACTTGTTAGTTCAAGTTTCTAAGGTGTAATTAATTAAGAAATAAGCTATGAAAATTATATAACTTTGCAAATAGGTGTTAAAAGTTTCAAAGTAGACTAGTGAATCTGATTAAAATTAAGCTTGAATATAAGCAAATTATATGTTAATTCGGACATTAATTTCACTTTTACTGGTATTAGGAGATATTAGAATTTCTTTGATAATTAAATTATTTTTTTGTAAAAATTTACCAGCACAAGATGTAGTTTGTTCTCTATCCTTATTATTCTCTATATTATTTCCTTAATATAGAGAAGAATGTAGAGAACAAACTGCATCTTGTGCTGGTAAATTTTTATACATCTATCCTTATTACTCTCTACATCAAGGAAATAATATAGAGAATGATGAGGAAAAGTTTCATGGAACGTTACAACAAAAATTAACGAAGTTAATTAACACTTACCTGAGCGCCGTCGACTCGACCAAGCGCATTTCTATAGTTAGACTGCTGCCAGAGGAGACGAAACTTTCCACCAAAGAGCACGGACGACTGGTATTTTGCAGGATAGCATGATCGCAAGTCTTCGGCACTTTGTCCTTGCAGTATCTCGCCAGCAGTGTAGTATTACTCGAGGGACGCGCAAGAACGGGTTGAATCGGATCGCCCATTCTTTCAGCGTAACGCTGACGCTCTTTTTCACTGAAACAAATGTTGAATCTCTACTTCCTTCTACAAACGCCGAACGTTTTGAGAAAATCATCGAGGCTTAGAAAATTAATATTAACCACTAATAAATATATGAATAAGAAAAAGCAGAAATTGTTACAATAAAGTTGACAAAAAATTTAATAATAAAAAAAACAACAAAAGTAAGCTGCAGTCAGTTTAAAAATAGAGTCAATCGAAAGATTATTCATTTATTAGTGATTAATATTAATTTGTTTGTAGTTAACGTTTCTCAACGTTAAGAAATAAAACAAGATATATCTCGCTCTTAATAAACAAAATCAAAATTCCTCGAGTTACGGGCCGGCTTGTCATCATTTACCAGGCAACGTCGTTGCATTCCGACAACGGCATCATCTCGCCGTCCCAGACCATCAGGGTCGTCGAGCAATCCTCGTCGGTGGTAGACAGACTGGTGCCCACGTGGAATTTGAGGATAGACAGCCAGACGCGGAATTGCGGCTGCGGCGGTCTCGGGGCCGGTCTCCTCCACACGGTGCCGGGTCTCTGCTCCGGGAACTTGGGTAACGGCCGCGGCGGCGTCGGGCTCGGCAAGGTGGGACCGGCGCCGCGAAGATGGTACAGGCAGGTGCTGTTCCTCGGCAGTGAGTGACGTGGCGACGCCAGGATGCCGCCGCCGGTGCCCCTCAGCCAGAACTCGCAACGCTTATTCTTGGCGTAGGTCGGTGATTCGGCGTCCACGAACGTGACCTGGAAGCCGAACGCGCGCGTTCGTTTCACGTACATTGCGTGCAACGTCGCGACGCGAGCCGGGCTTCGCCCATCGTCGATTTAACCCTCCCTCGCGCCATCCCGGAGGGGGCGAGTCCGAATTGCTCGGGCGATCGCGTGTTTGCGGTTCTATCTGATGTGAGTGCATTCGCCGCGGTGTGTCGTTAGGAAATTTTATACCAGGCGATACGAATGTCGGTGATATCGTTGTTTCTGCTCGGCGGGAGCTCATTGGATTTTATGCGCGATCAATGAGGTGAAATGAGTATACCCGAATGATCTTTGATTTTCAGCAGTGCAGAGAAAATAATGATTTATCTCCATCTTTTAAAGGTGAGGTGTTTACATCGCGCTGGAAACGCTATAGAACGTAAAATAAAATTGCCCTTGGTTTGCTTTATTTCGATACACAGAGATTTTCTTCGTTTGCCAAATCGTTAAATTTGATAGCATATAAATTGATAATAAGCAATCAATTGAATACGATGCGCGAACGCGATGAAATATCCAAGAAGTTTTGATACAAGACGCGATTTATTCTCCAAAGTTCCGTCTCTCTAAAGTGTGTTACGTTTAAACACCTAAAGCATTGAAATTTATAGGTGATTAAGTAGGAACGGACATGTTAGACATTAATTAAGGCGGCTATTATGCAATTTATGGGGAGAGCTTGCTCACGTACTTGCACTTCTAATTGAAACCCATGTAGGGAATGGGGCGGCGTCGGATGTAAGAAGGTGCCATAAGGAGAGGTAGTAAACTCCACGAGGATTTCCGGCCCGCTGCTGATGGCCTCCGGCACCGGCTCCCCGCCGCCGCAAAATTTTAGGATCACGGGCTCCCTGGTGGTGTATCCGTCATACACTGTTACGTAGTCCTGTAAAGACAAATTTCTCTATCTCGGTGGAATAGATAAACATAATTCGACGATAAAGTTTCGTATGTAGGCCAAGTTTTCACCTATGAAGTTCGCGAAGATCGATCTGACTTTCATAACGATATTTAATTCGTCAAGTTGTTACAATGAAATTGAATGCATTTTTACTTCAAATTATGCTTAACGTTAAAAAATTACTCCGTTATTCGTTACATTTTATGACAACGCGACTGTAAAAAAGAAAAGATGTAATATTGCGTTAATAATATTAGTCGGAAAAACTGTGTAACTTTGAGAGACATTTGCGAGCAGCCTTGAAAGAAACTTGGTGGGAAGCCTTGCAGAGTCCTCGCCCGGAATAAATCACCAGCAGGGGTGTTTGGTTAAACTTGTGTGGCTGCGTTTAATTCTTTGATTCGCGATCGTCTCCCCCCGTACTAACTGGCGACAGAAAATACCTCGCGCTCGTGGTTTTTTCCGGGTCGCGACAAAGAATGCAAAAAGCTGAAAGTTTTTCTTTCTCTGGCGGGTGATCACTATGCAAAAGTGCGGCACGGCTGCTTGGCAGACCGGTCACGTTGCCCGGGCGTTACGACCGGGGCATTCTCTCTTTCTCTGCCTCTGTCTCGAATTTATAACGGCTAATCCAATTTTCGCGGTGGCTTTACGTACCTGAACGACGTCGCAATCTTGCCAGAGACGCAGTTCCCGGGGTGGTGCCTCGGCCTGAGTTGCTGGCCGTGCTCTTACAGCTACCAATTGGCCCCGCGGCTGTTTTACGTGTATTAAAGCATGCTTGCCCGCCGGCACCTCGTGCTGTCTCACCTACACGAAATATGAATCAGTCTATCAGTACCTGTACTATTCAAAATTTCTATCCTCGCATAGAATTTCTTATCGTAATTTTTAAATATAATACTCGTGTGTATTGCATATATACGCAGCGTACCATGATTTTGTTTATATTACTTCAGCGACATCGCTGAAATTCTAATATAAATGTAAATGTAGATGTTAAAAGATACCGAATGTTGGCATCAATTTTAATTCTTTTTATACGTTTATTTTTCATGTGTAAAGGCAATTCTTATTTTTTAATGTCTTATCTTTTTTTTAAATGTCGTTTACTTTTATAAAAAAATATTTATTTACAAATTAAATAGATTTAATGATTTCTCTGTAAAATGTCAGCAATAAGAGATGCTAAATTAACTTTTTATATTATCCTTTCTTGGAAAATGTAAATCTGCACCAAATAGTAACAACTTTTCTTACATTAGAAAATAAGGTAATTCATTGTTAAAATAAATTAGAGAGATTAGATTTATATATAACATAAAAATAAATTCTAAAATGCTGCATATATATGCTATTTGTTTTTCGCGGTTAAGCTAACAGGACGGTAACGTGACGAATTGCTTGAATCGACCTTTATCTAGATATCGGTAACTTCACCGTATTGAGAGGGCTTAAGCGCGCGATAAAGATCAGAACGGTTGTATCAGAGTTTCGGAATAAGATGAACTTTCGGTAGAAATACACCGATGAAGATTGCTTCGCTCGTAATCGAAGTCTATCTAGTGGAAGTCCCACGAGTGTCTGTCTGTCTGGTTGTACACGGAAAGAATAAATGACCACCTCCGGCATTGAAGCGGAGGCCGTAAATTCTACTAGAACTTTCACGTATCTCGCCCATCGACTCCGGAATGACTGAATATCAAGGAGGAATTGATTAGCTTCGCGGCATCGATTCGAGATAATATATTTTAATTTAGAGGATGCTGATATTATTACCGTCGATCTTTCATGATAAATTACAGTTCTAACATGAAATAGAATTGACTATTTTCTAACGCTGATAGAGAAGTCAAAAGGGAATAAAGAAAGAGGAGCTGAAAGAGAATAATGAGAAGGAAGAAAGAATTTTAAATTTCTTTCATTCTTTTTAATTAAATTTACGATAAAAACAAAGTTCGGTGGCGCCTTTCCAATTTCTTGCAAAAACATCGTCGGTCTGTTTTGTTCGCGTTTAGCAACTTTGTCCTTGGCTACTGACCAATTTTGAATCTTCCTCGTGCAAAAAAGAAAAAAGAAAAAAAATTATACCGGCCAGAAATTCGTCGGTCGCGTTGATTTACGTGACGGAGGAGGGGCGGTCGACCTGCGCGGTACTGAGAGATGTTAAGGGGAAAATAATGGTCGCAGGAAGAGGACCGTCCGAAAATTTGTTAACCGCATACGAGAGGAAGTGAGTCATTTTTACGACTTCCGCCGCAGGTGTGTCTGCTTGAAACAGAAATATGAGCCGTGTCAAGGCTCTAGGGAGAGACTCCCCCGTCTGACTATGTCGATCGTATATCACTGCCGCGCATCTGCTCGACGACGAGCAAATTAATTCGGGCGATGATACATTACGCTAACGATACGTCCGACGCGGCGAAAGCGTTCCCCTAATGAGCAGCCAATTATTTTTTTGTGTATTGTTACTGAGATTGCGTGTCATTCTTTTAGAAATTCTATATACATATAGAACTCGGAAATGTCGACGACAAATTCATTATGATATTAACATTATTAATATTACTTGATGCCATAATTATTGTTTTAAAAGGTCTCTTTAATTACGCTTTTTTAATTATTGTAATGTTTTTTTAATTACAGTGCAGTAAAGTATAAAAAAGTGCACCGCATATTGCCGAGGATGACAATTTAAGCGAGTCTTACCGCATAATAGCAGGTGAGATTGCGGGGATAGAGACCGGGGAAGTTAGGCGACTGCAATCTGCACTTCTTCCGGTCACAGTCGGTGAATATGCGGGAGCAATAAGTCCCAGATATTAGGTCCCCTAAGAACTGCTCGGAACTCGGTTTCGTGGGTGGTGGCACGTGTTGCTCGACCATTTGCACCGGCATCGCCATCGACGTGTTCGCGTATTCGGCGGACGTGCGCTCGGTCGACGCCGGCGTCCCGACGACCTGCGTTATTCCTGACCACGTGACATTGGAATTTTAATCATCGACGGCGAAAATATCGGGAAATTCTTTGCCCGCGCAATTTCAATCGCCATGCAATTTTGCGAACGAGACAGGTGCAAAATCGCTTCTCGAACAATTCCCTCGGATATTTACTCGGGAAATATATTCGAGTGTTATTAATTAATCAGAACGATGATTGTATGATTGAAATATATATTAAAACTGTCGCAAGTTAATAAATTTTTAAAATCAAAACGCTTGCGTATTTTATAAATCCTCAAATAATAAAATTGTATAAGTATATAATTGTGTAATTCCTCATTATATAATGTAGAAATGTTATAGAGAATAAAGATAATACTCTATGATATACTTTCTGTATATGTATTTTAACTATGTATACATATATATGTACTTTATAATGATAATGTCAATTTTTAATAATATGTACTTAATAATAATGTATTCAAAATGAAACAAACGTTAAACAAGAAATTTCGTTAAATTTTAATCAGACAGTGTTTATTGTAAAAATATCTATTTTGTTCCGAAACAGATTTTAATTCAAATGAGTATATGAAGCCATCGAAATTTATCGCGGGATAAATGTCGAACGTGTCGTAGACCAAGCTTCGACACAAACGTGTTCGAAATTTGTAATCGAAAACTGATCACCTACCGACGAAGGGATTTCCGTAGCGCACAACCGCGTCGGACTTCCTAATCATCTTGTATGCCATTCTAAAGTCGAAGTTGAATCCCGTCTGATCTTTGCTGAGCCTGAGCAGTTTAAGGAGGATCGAGACGCTGGGTGTTTCGCTGTAGTAGATCGCGGGTCCCCAGGACGTGCCGCACCAGAGACCGCCGACGTCGGGACGCTGCGCCTCCGAGATTTGCAGGGACCCGTCGGGACATCCCTCCGCGGTGAACGATACGAATTTGCCTAGAGTAAAGCTGTCGAAGGTCAGCTGCAATCAAAGAAACACGTCGTGAGACACACGTCGCCGAACAAACGATATGGATAATACTGTAGATAATAAATAGAAACATATAAGTAATAAACGCATGATAGGAGGGTGACACAGACAATATACTGTAAATATAGGTACACGCTGAAATCATGCGAAAGTGAAATGATTCGGCCGAAAGGCAAAGCGGCCGGAAAGCGGCCGGAAAGCGAGTCAATCTGCAACGTTCCGAATACACTGATTAATAACTCGAGAAATATATAAATACTTGATTAAAGTGAAGTTTTCTTTTTTCTTTAATCATTTCTTGCGATACTTACAATTAGTTAAAAGATAGGATTTCTGAGTTGCATCATAAAGAGAATGTTACTTTTTAATACCAAGGAAAGTAAAATGTAAAAGAAGTTGCCAAGATTTCATGTTTCAATTTATCGTAAAGTACCAAAACTTTCTTTAGAGATAGCACTTGTTTTTATCTCGTACTAGATATTTTTTTTTATTAACTTTTTAAATATTTCTCTCGTTTGTATTTCATGAAACTTTAACGACTAACACAGTCGGAAGTAAACGGATGAGTGATGTTACTGTAGAGGCTTCCTTTTACACGATGCCAAGCAAATAAATTCGCATCGGCGTCATCGACCATTGCTCAAGCTGTCAGCAATTGATAGTCCGCGCAGTTTTTCATCGGAGAGAGCAGCCGCGGCTCGTGCCCGTCCGCGCTGCGCGATTAAAACATCGACAGAGTCTGTCGTTTCGACAGTGATAGAAAGCAGTTTGCAGCCGTAGCCACGTGAAGGTGATAAAGACTTGTTACGAGTAATACATATCCCTGCGTAATAACTGTGCCTACGAATTACGTAAATAACAGAATATTTGCTAAATACTATTTCGTAATAAATGAGTAGGTCGATTATTTAAAACTATCTTTTATTACTATTTGTATTAAGTATCTTTTTTTTTAATTTTGTTATTCAAGTGCACGCAATTCAAGTAAACAACACTCAGGCAGTGAATTAAACAGAGACATCGCGAATTTGTGTTGACTTGAGCGTATTGTCAAATGCAGTTCCGCCCGGCTGCCGCATTCTGTTTTGCATCACCGCGACTTTTAGCTCGGTTGCGGCCTCTTTGACGAGACCAGTAAACATCTGCACGCAGACCACCGGCATGTACAAGGGATCCTCGTGACTTGCGCTATGCAGATATGAGAAAGCCAGCAAATATTGCTGTGCAAATAATTCGGCAGCCGGAGGCAGGAGAGTTTTTGTGCGCTCGACAAAGTTTTCGCGCTCTCCGGAAACTCGGCGTACGGTTAGTTTTTCAGTTTCACGTAATTGTCGAAAAATGCGCGGCCCTTATTAAAAATTCTGCCTTTAATCCTCGCCATTTTCTCGGCGAGAGTTGAACAAAAATAGTTTTCTTCGTTGTTAGAAATGGACTTGCAAAAGTGTGATGTTTTCCGGAATTGCAGCTAATGCTTTTATGTCAATCGTTAAAATTAAAATTAAAATTTTCTTTATTTCTTTATTTGTGGCTGGCTTGCGATTGACTACATAATTTATTTGAAACTTTTCTGTCCGGAAGAATTTGTGAAACGTTTCCCGCTCGTAGCCGCTCTACGCGAGGAAAATAGTCATTTGTTGAGACTCACGGTTTCCTTAATATACGATTCGATAAAAACTTAAGTGTTCGGAATTTAATTTGCTACATAAATCCAACGCCGTTCTGTTTTCCGCGTTTCTTCATCGAACTATTCGTTACCTCGTTAATGCGCACTTTAATTAAAGTCCAATTCAATGAAGCGTAATTTATTGCAAATTTCCGAGATGCGCTTTTTTGAATAACGAAAGTTAATTCATGAATAAATCGTCTGACGCTTTTTATAATATACAATTGAATATTGAATATGTTCTAATATCCGACAATTGAGTATCTCGAATGATACGACTCACCTGCACGATATCACCGAAATCGTCACCTGGCGCGTTAAAGGTGAGCTTGCAAATGTAAGGCACCTTATCTTCCTTCGGACGATGCAATTCCAGATCATATGTCTTCCCCACATCGCCATAGTACGTTTTATTGCAAGCTGTAACATAGATATTAAAATACTTTTATTATTTTTACTATATCTTCACATTATTATACTTATATTATTCCTATTTATTTATTCTTAATGGTATTATTTTTTTTGTCAGGTTTGCAAAGCTTATAATTAGTTTACAAAGTAGGTATTTGCTATTAATTGAGAAGTTATTAAATTGTTATTTCAAATACATCTGTTTTTCAAATACGATTATGGCATAATTGATTATGAATAGAATTAAGAATTTACGAATTTCAGCTTATATGCTAAGCAGAAGAACTTGGTTTACAATTTTAACTTAACCTTCACCACATTCATTCATATTGGCATGAGTTATGTTTCTAGATGTGGATTTCATAAATACTTAACATTTACAAAGATAAATTATAAATATGCAGCGTATATATGTAATTATTACAATGACTTTCATAAATCGTATAATTTTGATATTGGCGGCTTCCTGTTGTCCAATAATAGAGAAGTACATTGTCCCAAAGTGGATTTCTGTCTTATCTTCTTGAAACCGGTTTCTTACTGCGGCCAACAACGCTGTTACGGCCGTCCGTAAATTTTCTTTCGCGAATAGCATTTTTCAAACCCGGAAGTGCACTTCGCAGACCCGTGAAAAATCGTATCTGTGGCTAAAAATTTATGAGAAATGAAGGTAGTCGAAGAGGGAGTGCCTCCCTTCCGCGATACTTTCATCACGTACTTTCCTCATAAAAGAAATATGATAAATGCATAGTGTTCACATTTTTTATTTGTAAGAATATGGTTATCATAATTGTCTCATTCGACGTGTCCAATTATATAGCTGATGAATAGGACGAAATATAAGCAATTATTGGATTTGCATTAATCAATTTTTACGACATTTTTATCTCGCTTTTTCGTGGTTCTGATAATAAGTCATTATCTCGTGGGCTGTTGCAAGAGTTCCACTTCGGCTCTCTACTGAATTAGTATTCTTGCGAACGCGGAGTCGCTGAAATTAATTCGATTACAGGCTTCTCAATGTAATCACGAGATTAGAGACTGCGGGATGAAATAAAGCGTCCGTAAGTTTATTGTAATAATTTAGACAAGACAGGAAGTTTATTTGAACTTTTATTTGAAGTTGATCGACATATGAAGAACATTAGGCTGCAGGAAATGTACGCGAATACGATATGCGCGCGCGTTCGTATATATTTAAATATTTCTCACGTGAGTGAATTCGCGAAATGTCTTATAATCGACGTGAGAAGTATTCGAAGTATCTCCGTTAAACGCAGCTGTATATAAAATATCGGAGAAAGAAAGTTCGCCGAACGTCATAATCCACAAGAGCGCATTCCCTTTCGCTCGTCAAGCCGCAAGCCGATTCCATCGAAGAGATTACGAGGGGCGATCCCCCACGGATCGTAGAGCATACAGAGCAGCAAGATAAGGAATTGATGGTAGATGGTAATGAATTATCGATGAGCCGCGTCGTTTGTTTCGTGCCGGGCATTCCGGCTCGATGTTTCGGACGAACGAATGGAGCGGGAAGAAGGGGCATCGTCCGGCGCGCGCGTGCAACTCTTCCTTTTCTTCATTCATATTTAATGGCAATTGCGGCGAGTTTGGAAAAACGGCGTTCAATCAAAGATCGCAAATAGAACTTTTCACGAGGGGCCGGTGAAAGACACACGCGATCAACGCGACTAGTGATATTTCCGATAGAAATACACCCAAGGGAAAGCACATCGAGTACTTATTTATTCAGAAAGATTCTCGCCACACAACGGACCGACGTTCAAACTGCCCAGATGCTTATCGTTAATTCAGTGAGGACAAATTTAATCGGATTTGTCCAGATACTTATAGATATAATTTGAAGTATCTGAAAAACTGCTATTATTCGAGAATAACACGATATATAACACACATGATTTTAGTATAACACCCTTTGAGGCGAAGATATCTTGTATTATTAAAAAATTATGTTATACTATCAAAACTATATATATATATATATATATGTGTGTATAGTTAAATAAATTTTAAATAAACAGATTAGTGTTAAAAGTTATTTAAAGTAACTTTCCATTGCTATTCGACAGTTTTAACAATCTTATAGCTCTCTTCTTATTGTTAAATTTATGTATATATATGTATAACTCTCTCTAAACTACAAATGTCAGTTCATACAAAATTAGAAAGCTTTCTAAAGCGAACTCTCATTTCAGGTCCCCTCGTTTCCATAAATTTATATCCTTAATATCCTTTTGGCCTCCTTGTTATATAATAAGCATTCTTCAAAATAACATTTGACACGATCCACTCATAAGAAGATAATCTGAGGTAGTAACAAATAGCAGCACATTGATTCAATGACCGATTGTAACTTTTTAGTTTAATCATTAAACTTGTCAAAAAAATTAAGATGAGAATTAAAACTTCTCGCAAGTTTACCTCAGTATAGCGCCTGGCATTCCCTCTCCTCCTCTTATCGTTGTCTTAACTCTTATCGCTCTCTCAGGTAATTCCGTTGTCTCAGAGGAGATGTTACCGTTCACTTTGGGAACTAAACTCGCTCTAAACTCGCGCAACTCGTTCACGATTTCCCATCGATTAGACGAATCTGGAATGCACTTGTCGATCGAGTTGCTTTGGCTTCCCCGCCCCGACCTTTCCCTGTCCCCCTCGTCCTACACGAAATTACCCCTAGTTTCGGTTGGTTACACACCGGACCATTGTGAGGCTTCAAGGGCTCATAATGGATGTACAGGGGTGGGAAATCAAGGGTTCGCCGGGTAGACGAGGACGCCGTAGAATCGAACGGCTGTCACATACATACAATAGGCACCGTTTCCAGGCACCGGGTCATTCCTAATCGGAGCCCCGGCTTGGTGATCTAATGGGTCACTTCGGAGTGTGTTATACCCGCCGCACAATCCCTTTAACAATTGGCTTTGATATAGGCTTGGCTTGGCACAGGCGACAGATAATGATAATCGTGCGTTAAATGGTAATAAGTCAAGTTTCGTCCGAAATTTCGAACAATTCTGCTTACAAGCATCAAAAAATTTTTCTTATTTTATACGTATTGAATCGTTACACATGAATTCCTTTTATTTCATAAAAAATTTTATAAAATCTAAGCTAAGTAATAAGTTGTTAAACGTTCCACTTTATAAGAGAGTTTGCATTTTATAAAAGATTTTGCGAAAAATAAACTAGGTAATAAATTTTATTCGCGCACACTATTGAAATTCATTATAATTATCGCTCGATACTACCATCAATATATTAGTCAGATATTTTCCGCGTATATTGCCAGTCTGAATTTAATTAGACATTCGATATACTGGTAATATATAATCTCGTAAAATCTATTTGTTAACGTAACAATAATTAGAAGTTTCCGTACGTCGAGTTTTGAACGATTACGAAATTTACGAGTATGTCTAACTAATGGTCGGCATAAACCATTTCGTTCTGTCAGCTCGAGACGCGTCTGGCCACGGGGCTGCTGTTACTACTGCGGCGTCAAGGAGCCTCTATGTGGTAACGTCTGACGAATGACTGGTTTCTGTCACTGCCGCGGTACACTACCGAGCATCCTGTTTCGAGCGTTTAATGAAAACAGACTTTGTAGTAATCCTGTAATTAATAACGCCATTTTTAATGCAAACTTCCGCTCTATATTTCCCATAATGCTAAGCGCAATTGATTCGCTCGCAGTCAATTTTTTACAACGAGAAAAAATGTTTGGTATTTGCAGCTACGAGTATAATCGCATAGTAAAATAATTATGGTTAGGGGTCCTATTTTTAGAGTTTTATTACTCTTATAACTTTAGAAATAACAATTATATTTATAACTCTATTAAACTCACAATATATAGTTGGCGCCGCAAATGACTACACATTTATAGTTTAATTATGGTAATCGCAACCATTTTTTTCTCTCAGTGTACGAATATTTTATAGACATTATAGATATTGAGAAGATAAAATTGTGAAAATTTGCATTATTATAAATATCACGTGTATTAATTCTTTTAATAAAAATTCTTGACATATCAATAATACATTTTGATGTAAAAAAAAAAGAAATTGCTTAATGATTGCTTGAATAAATTCAATTTATTTATACCAATGAAGCAATATTTCAACAATATTAACAATTTAATTGTTTCATATTGTACTTTGACTTGTGCCGTTCACGCAAATAGTTAACGGGGAGTAGTTTAGCTAAAACATGTATAGCGCAATTGAATTCGGGCTGGCAAATAGGTACGCCATGCACAATTGGCGCTGAGTCAAACGTTTAACAATGCCGGAAAATTCAGAATCAAAATGAACGTATCTCCTTTTAGCCACGCTGGCCTCGCTGAATTTTCCGATAGTTCACCCGATAGTCAAATGCTGAGAATATCTAACTATAACGCCAAGTTTCAAATTTGAAAAATATTTGTTGACTTTAGAAACTAAACTTTGTCAGATCAAATATCTTGATCTGAATTTATTGCAGAGTTTCAAATATTCTCCGAAAGAGCGTAAATTCAATTCTTTACGGTATATTTTTCGAGATTGCGTCATTAGGGAGCTTTCGCACGGGCAACGAACAGTAAAAAGAAGATGCGACCTCTCGACGCGTCTCGTCTGGTGTCGACGAGACACGAATTTTTCGCAGCCGGCGAGGAATAGAAGCGCGCGTTACATTCGCGAAATTCTATGACGCGTAGTTGCCGTCAAGCGATGAATTCGCGTCGCTCCACTTGGCGTCATCGGTGTAAAAGCTGTAAAAGTGTACAACCCCGAGAAACGAGAAGAAAAGACGTGCTGCGTGGTATAGTATAAGTATACATATATATAAACGAACGCGGAACGAAGCGAACAAAATCAAACGCGACCTCGCGAGTGTAATATGCGGTACTTCGCTGTTTAATATACAACGGCGCAAATATAGTGTCATGTCTAAAACTGGAAGACGAAAGAAATTAGAAACGTGCGCTTACAAGCGCAATTTGCAAAAATATAGGCTGATTAATACGCATAAAAAATGATAATTCAATGTATATTATTACTCTGGTAAACGGGACTAATAGCATTTAAATTCTGACGTTTCAAAGATCCCGATAGAATTAAACAAGAAAAGAATTCGATATAATCGAAATGAATATTATCGATTTTATTTAAGATACCATAAATTGCTGCCGCGCCGTAAAAATGTCTTCTAATATATATCTCGTTCTACGTGAGGATATTCTCCGTCTGGTATCAGGGGAAAGAAAGTAGGAGTCACGTAATGCAGTAGCGAACATACACACACGTACTCCCAGTACAGCTTAACAAAACTCTCACGTATATTAGAGAGATGAAAACAAGCTCTTCGTTAAACATAAATTAAATTGTATATAAAAATAAATATTAGATATGGCAATAATTACATCAAGATAAAATTAATCTTATTAAAATCGTTATGCGGATGGAATTTAATGCAACTTAAAAATTATGTATTGATGTCAGTGTACAACATGGATATTGCCTACGCGAGCACTCGCCGATTCACTTCCGCAATCTCACTTTCTTTCTGCAATATATATCTCTCGCTTTTCGCTCCATGTAGTCGGCGATAAATAATTGATTTCGAATAAACGGTGAGTGCATTTCGTTGTCGCGATGTGTTGGGGAAGTGTAACGATATCGAAGTTGAGTAACAAGCGCACGCGCGCGCGCGCGCGTCGATACTCGCGAATTCCGTGATCGTCTCTCCGCTAGATGAGATACATCCGCGGATAATGCGATCACGTAAGACTTTAATTCGCTCTCCGAGAAGTAGTTAACGCATTGTTTATTAGGGGCTTATTCTCAGCGAAGCGACGCCTCTCTCGTTGTTTCGTCGAAAGAGTGAAATGACATTGAAGCCCGGATTAGCATAGCGCGCGCGAGGCGCGCAGCGAGTGCATTCGTCTCGCTGATGCATTTCTCACACCGAGCGCAAGATTAACGTCTACAGGCGGCTGTAGCACTGCGATAAGAGTTATCATTCCGTTGCCTTCTATTTCAGGAGAAGCAATTATATTTTTTTACATCCCGCGCGCCACATCTCGAAGACGATATAGCGTCGCTTTAAAAACGATTCGTTAAGAAATAAATTAAATTCGTATAGCTTGAAGAGAATTCGATGTATAAACGGCATTTAGACGTGAGAATAATGTAACACGTGTGCAGTTCTCGTCTCCGCAATGCTTGCAGTAGTTGCATAGTTTAATTACACAAGAGAATAATGACGGCGGGCAGTTGATCTGATAAGCATTATTCGTTCTACAAACTAAACGAGACAGTACGTCCAACGTAGTTTACACAAAGAGACAACGGGATTACATTACAGAATCATGAATGTGAACAATTTTTTGTGTATTTATTTTCAAGCGTATTTCCATATTTTTTTATCTGAATTTTCGAGAGCGTTTTAAAATATTAGCTTACCATTCGCGTAAAATAATATTATTACATTAAGAGTAATCGTACAATTTATACATGATACCTTTTAGCGTGTGTGTGACGGTACGAATATTTAAATTTGATGGAGTTATCAGTGTGCGTTAATTCTACGTTACAAGATATTAATTAGTTCGCGATGCACTATTACTATACACAACGTCGCGCGACAAAACGAATTACCGTCGCTTCGTGTAATAAACGCGTTTAACAGGTGGCGGTCTTTTTAATGCATAGGGCAACAGAATAATGTTCTTATCCGGGGATTATCTCCGGAAATGAGTTTCGGGCGAAGATTATGTCCCCTCCCTTCCTGCCGCCTTCCCGATTTCCCGTCGTGTACGGTAAATTCGACGAAATAATAGGAAAACCGCGACGCGGTTTCGCGCAACTTTCGTTAAAGACAACGACACGTCGTTGATAGAATAATCGTAAATTAGACCGTCGAACAATTTGCACTACAGCCAATGGGAAGAAAGGGGGACACACATGCGTGCGTGCTAAACATACATCGATAGGGCTGTAAAGGTTATTTCTCAAAGTTGCTGACATCGCCGGATTTCTATCGTACGCCGCCATTTTTCGCCGATGATATTCCATCGCTGGATGCTCAGAGAGAAAGAGAGAGAACTTTGATCGGACGCCCTATGCAAATTGCCCTACTTTCTCTCGCTCGTTTCATCTAGCTTCACACCGTTCGCGCCGGTGGCGTTGTTATTATCCTTTTTTTTTTTATCTCCGTAAAGTCGGCGCGCTACGATGTTGCGAGAGATTGATGATCGAGAAGCAAGAGGAGAAAGACGGTATGATAGGGCCTAGCCTCTTTTCTCTACAAGGTATAACTTCAAAATACGTTTCAACGGCTTTGAGATATTCACGAATTTATTTCTAGTCTCCAAAACTAGTTTTCCGCGAAGTTTTATTCGCCCGGAAATGCAACGATTCGCGCGACATAAAAATTAACAGAGCGAAGAGAAGCTTTCCTCCCCGTCGGCGGCCGTTTTGTTCTTCAGCTTCATAGAGTTTTATACTGCAGATGTATTGATTTTACTTACCCGCGGCATAGAAAAATAGATAATGAAGAGAACGTTGAACGAAATAAAAAAGATAGCGAAAGAGGAAATTAACTGCAGATTTCTCGCAGCCCACTCCCTGTTTTATATTTAATAAAATTAGGTGTCACTTTTTTTAACTGAAAAATGCAAATCTGTACTGACATCTGATATGATGTGTGTAAGTGTGTGTCTATACATACTTTAAATGAGAAGAAATATTTTGAAAATAGTGAATTATTTACGAACTATAATTGTATTCTACAATTGTAAACAGAAGAGTATTAAATGCAATATAAATTAAGAAAGCTCTAAAATGTTTATTGCTTCTTACTGGAAAATAACAAAATCATTTTATATAAGAAATTATCAGTAAAGAAATGTATTTATCTTTTTATTTGACAAAAATAAATGTTTGATAAATGCTGTCAAAACTGTATTTTTATTAATTGAAAATGTCTAAGAAAACTCTATTTTAAATATAAAAATAAAAGTAGTTTCCATTTTTGATCAATTAAGATAAATTTATCAAAATATCTATGCATCTAATAATATGGCTAGGAGGATTGTAAATATTAATTTCAATACTAATGATATACGTTTCATTTTTATATTCAAAGATTTTCAAGGAAAGCTTATTCTAAACATTTAAAGATGGTCAAAATTTTCAAGATTTTCTTGAAACTTAAAAAAAAAATGAAACATGTTAAACATAAGGAAGTATTAAGGATACATAATATTTTTTTTACAAATATATTTTTAATAATTTATTAGTGCATTTCTCTTGCTTAATTATGAAATTATTTTCAAAGCTCTCTCTCTCTCTCTTTTTCTCTTAGTAAAAGGAATGTAACACGAGCAACGTATATAGTCATTTATTTATTTTAGTGACTAACCTGATTACGGACGGACAGACTTCTTTCTGACAAAACAAATTACAAATGACGGCAGCTATTTTTACGGAATAACAAAATTACCCTTTATTCTCAGTGAGGCATGAAAGAGGCGCCGCGAAAGATTAATCAGTGGTTTCCATGAGACCTACTTTCCCGTTTCCGTTCTACGAAGTTCCTTCTACCACGTTCCCTCCATTGAAAACTTTTATCCATTTATAAAATCTACTGTTGTTCACGTGTGTGCACGCTTAAAGGGTCTCCCTATGACAGAAATTACTCGTTGCACGATGTAAACGAGTTGAAGTTCCTCCGTAGACGGATAAACTGCTAAAGCTACTTCGTGGAAGATGCACGATACACGATGGACGCGACTGGCAGTGGTACTGTTCTCTCTTATGTGTGTGTAGTCGGAAGGGGGGCGGGAGGGGGGAGGCAAAATCGATCTTGGGGATATGCGTTGGCTCGACCGTTGCGTTTGCAACGGCATTTATCCTGCGCGTTTTCGTGCAACATCAATGGGCATTCATCTGCGTTCGAGCGATCAATTATTGGCGCAGCTGTGAAATGATGCCATTTCGAGTCGGGCCGCTTTTTATTGTAGCACTTCGGTCCCGTTTCAATTTCGTCGGAGCGGGAGCATTGCCGTCCATGAAAGATTCATAATTCCGATATTTTGTTATCGTACGTGTCTGCCTGCGCGTCGCGAATAAATCTCTTGCGCGCTTCCAGCAGAATTTCCCTCAAGAAAACCGTTTCGCAGGATGAATCGTGTGAATGCATCTGAGCAGGTTGTTTGCAGGAAATCTGAAGGCCTTAGAAATCAAAATATTCTCACGGGAATATTATTATGAAAGTGAGGGGGGCAAATAGTGACGGATTTTTTCCTCTCTCCCCTACAAGCTAATTTCAAGTTTACAAGATGTGATTTTTCACTAAAAGAGTACTTTCCACTTTCAAATAAACAAAAAACTTAATTAGAGTTTCTATAAGTCATGTATAAGGGCTAGATTTTCAAAAAAGCTGACCCAGGAGCCCCAGGAGCTATTTTTTCCTTTAAAACTTTACTGAGAGAAATAAAATTAATATACAAGGAATTATATCAAAATAGAGGAAAAAGGTACCGTATGACACAGAATAGATAGGTTAATATAACTTCAAATATTAAAAAAAGATCCAGGTTTTACTTTATTTCACGAATGTAAAATTTTTAAACTTCTCCGCTAGTTATGTTTGGCTTTTGATTTTTACGCGGGCTTTTTCAGAAGATGATTAGATGCTTGAGAACTGTCTTTCTATTAACGAGTAGTGGTAAAATAAACGCGGGAAAGAGAAGAAATTTAAAGTGACACTAATTACGCTCTGTCACTATTTGCCCCCCGTTCCCTTATACGTATATACGTACGGTCGCTTTCAATTTATGCTTACATAGTCAATAAGAAGCCCTGCTTTATTCATAATTACGTGGCAAATATTACGTCAAAGATCCCCTTGTGATTATATAAACACTATAAAAAGCTCTAAAGAGTATAGATATACGCCCTGAGGTGTATTATAGATGCCTTTCAAGCATTCCTTGGATCTTTTTGTTGCTTGATTTAGCATCTATAAAATAATCCCTGCAACATAATAAACAGAGAGAAAGAGAGAGAGAGAGAGAGAAAGAGAGAGCTAGAGATGGAAGAAATATTGCCTGAAACGTTACTCTATTCGATGATAACCCATTTTAACATTGATAACTTCGTGCATTCATGGGCGCGGTATAGACTGCAGCAGGTTCTTTATAGGTTCTGCTCACGCTTTCCACAGTACGATTTCCATTAGTCTCAAAGGGGAGTAGAAGCTGCCGACGAAATGATCGCGCCATAAATTATGCCGTGAGCTTTAACAACTTCTGGTGCATGTGGCATTACATAAGATAGGTGGTTCCTACTTTCATGCTCGTTAGCGCTAAATGTTACTTAATTTATTCTTCTATTTTATAATATAATATAAATCAACTATGCTGATGCATCAATAAAGTCAGCTATAAAATCAAAATTTTCATAATTATTACGGAGACGTCTTGGACGTCAGCAAAGACATAACACACGCCCGGCGGGTCTCTCCAAAAAGTTGACTTTCCGTTTCCACGAATGTTGATTCGACCGAAAGTATTCAGATTATTCGTGCCGTCGCGTGCTCGGCGCGTTTACAAATCTTTCACGATGAAGTGCGCCTCTCCGAGCGAGTGCACCGCGTGTCCGGGTGTGAAAGCAGCGGGAGCACATCGACTAGGTCGCCAGTGCTGTGTGGAAGAGGGAATAGTTACTGCAGCTTCCCGTCGTCACCCTCCGCGCAGGGTTGCGGGGGAAGGGGGAACTGAGTCGACAAGGCACACAGGGGATA